TGTCGTACAGACTCCAGTGCCTGATGAGGAGGAACTTGGGCTCTGGCGACAGCCTGATGCTTGTGTCTTCGGGGCTGCGAGCCGTGGTGGGGATGATGCCTGAGTTCTCGACAGCAGCCGGGCGGCCGCGGATGACTTCGGGCGGGTTCAGACGTCGAACTTCATCTCTCAGCAGCTGGCGGATACGTGCGCCGCGGACACCCATCCAGCCGTTCCCTTGTCCCCGGTCCGAGTTGCGGACAGGCACCGCGATACCCGCAGATGACCTTCCGTACAGCTCCATGGAAGTGACACCAACAATGGCGAGCCACAAGAGGTCGTTGTCGTCCCGGCCGAGCTCCGACGCGAGGGAGTACATCATGGAGGATATCGGCTCAGAGAAGGAAGCACCAATCTTGTAGTATTTGCGGAGAACGGTCTCCTTTTCCCTCCGCAGACGCAACAGACGTCGTCGAAGGACCCTGGCAGATGGCGCGGGCGGTGGTTGAGCAGCTGATGGAGGTTCCAGGGGATCACTCGAGAGAACCACGCCGGCATCCCGTAGAGATACGAGCCCTCTGTGAGCTGGCCGTCGTGGTGATGAGGGAATCGAGGAAGACTGCTACGTGTTAGTGGCCGTGAAAACAGAGCGACGCTTGACGACTCACAGAATTGCTTCTCCTCCTCTGGTGCGGCCTATCGTCTGTATCGCTAGACTCGTCCTCCTCGTCTCGGTCCGACCAGCTTTTCCGCTTCTGGCCAGCATGTGCTGGTTCTTCAAAAAGATCCTCGTCCTCAGCATCATCGTCGTCGTCCAAGTCGTCCAGGTCCTCGCCGTCGTCATCGATTTCGGGCATATCAAGCAATGCTAGATAGGCTTCCTTTTCCGCGGCAAGGTCATCCTCAATGTCGCCGTCGTCAAACACAACGATACCACCCTTGCCTGGCTTGTAGGCGCGATCAATCCGACCAGCCACTACGCCTGGCGGACACCTGGACTGGAGCGAGGCACCTTCTTCGACGGCGGGCTCCAGTGGGAAGCCACCGAATACGTTGCCCAAGTTCCACGGACGGTGTGAGTCCATGACCCAGACCTCGACACCGCCAAAGGTCACCTCTTCTCCCTCGGGTTCCAGTCCAAGCAGGCTTCCAAGATCAACCATGCCGCCGAGGCCGAGGCACACAACAACGCCTCCACTCCCTCCTTGCGTTTCCATCATGGGCTGGACCAAGTCCCGGCCGGCGCGTTCGAGGTCGGCATATCCGGAGACGGGTTGGATCTTGTGGGGGATATAGTCGTGCTTCAACAGGCGGGTCAGGATTCGACATGCGCAGAGGGAGTCGGGTTCGAGGGCGACGAGGACGAGAACGGGAGGGGACAGCGGGTGTCGCGTGTTCTGGAGGTGGGTGTATAGTTTGGATATCAGAGACCGTGGAAGATACATGGCTAAGAGGATTTTGACGCGTTTCCACGGTGTGTATCGAGCGGCTTCATGGGTTGCAAAATCGTTGTTCTCTCTCTCTCTTGTGTAGACGCGGTTGGGAGGGGCTCTACGGCGGGTGCAATGGGGCCGACGACGGGTGCGAGAGCTGGAAACAGTCGCGGAGAGTAACCGAGAGCAAGCAAAAAGGTTAAAGACTGCGAGCCGTGAGATGAGAAGGTTTGAGGCTTAGAGGCTGAATGGGACAGCTCTCTAGCGTGGGGTATATCAAAGTGCAGAAGAATCGACGGTGGGTAACAAACAGTAAGTATTCTGCCTCATGAGAGCGTAAGGTAAGGTAAAGTGGTAAAGATATGATTTGGTGTGGTGGTGGTGGTGGTGATGGTGGTGGTGGTGGCCCAGGCCCGAGTCAGAATCGAATGATTGAGTGCAAAAGTGAGAGTGACGCGCTGGACGCGGTCTGCCAGACTTTAGCGACGCGTTTAGGTACGCTACCAGCTGTTTGCGACGTGCTGACCTGGGAACCTGTTAAAACCACGGGAAGAAGTGGACCGTGCCGTCGGCCGAGTGCACGGATCAACCGATTGCGGGACGCCGGGACAACCACCGCCCCACTTTCAGTCGTCCGTCCTACCTTAACGCCGATGAGGACATGAGGGTTCTCACTCGACGTCGATTTCCACCTCTAGGTACCTTATCAAGTATGATTGGATCCAGTGTCACTCGTTTCTCACATCTATAAGCTTCATGGCTTGTTCTTCTTGACCTCTTGATCAATACACTAGGTCTCCAACAAAGTGAGCACACCCGAATCCAACGGTGCGCCCCATACCTTCTCCACTCGGTCGGCTAGTCTACCTGCCAGGTGGTTTTCCAGCCGACATTGGCTGATCAGCGTCCCTCTCATTGCCCTTCAAAGTACCTCACTATGGACAGGTACTCCGCATTACATATCCGTGAGCCTTGGCTGGCTGGCCATCTACGAACCGGACCACGGGGGTTAACGGAGTTGTCGTCCGAAGTAGCTTTCAATGGCGCCCTCCAGGGCTACACCTTAGCATCGTGGGCTATCGGTATCCTACCCTTGGGTGCCGCTTTGTCTGCTCGAGAGATTGCTCAGTAGACAATCCCAGCTGTCACTGTCCGAATACACGCCACATCCCACATTAACACCCCGCATCACTTCACTACTCGTACCGACGCGCGCTGTGCACTACTGTGTATGTGGTGACCGCCATCTCTACCTACCAGAGAGACCGAAACACACTCTGCAGGCTGCTTATGCGCGACCTCCTCGAAACGGCAAAGCTTCGATCCCCCGCTTCTGCTGCTGCTGCTGCTGCTGCTGCTGCTTGCGCGAGAGAGACCGTCCCATCACAGTGGACTTAAGAGAATCGCTTCCACAGAACTCGTCGCCCACGGACCGTGAATGACGCCGCTCGGCCGATGATGGTATAGACACCCCTCAACATCATACATAGACACTACCTTGCCTCACTCACGCCCTTGCTTGCCCACACAAACGTCTATAAGCTCGCCGTTGGATCGGCCCAGTCTCCAACGGCCTTCTGTCCTGTACCGCCGCACCGCCGGCACCGCATGCGGCGCTGTTTCTAGCTGGCCGTGGCCTTGGAACCGGACGGACATTCACACCGCCCCAGCCTGTTGGCACCGGTCTCAACCGCTGTGCCACCCTTCTGGGCACACTTGGTACACCAACAGCTGCAGAGAGGGGGAGCAGTTGCTTGGTGATTGGGTTACCATCCAGTTGGTACGAAATCCGATCCCTAGTACCAGATACTGTTCGTCCCTCACGTTCCTCAACTCCGGTTTTCTCCCAACCCTTTTCCGCCGCCCTTGACTTTCTTCTCTGATTCCTACGCACGATTTGTTCGTCTGTTACGTGCAGCCAGCTGGGCTTGCCGAACGAGTCATCTGCAATACTGACAATGCTGTGACCGTTCTCAGGCTTATCTTGTTCGACCATTGTACGTTGATTCTGTCGCTTTATTCAGAAATGCGCCACCACAGAACCCAGCAGGCTTCCTCAGACCGTGGTGTTGTTGGCTCATACCGGATACTCACCGATACTTTAGAAATCACACTTGGCCGTTGACCCAATCTCACTGCCAAAGACGTGGTGAACCGTCTCACGCGAGCGGTGTCGCCATAACCACACCCCTCGTCTGACGGCCCTCGAGGATCGTCTCTAAACCCGCCATCATGAACATGTCCAGCAGCGAGCCCATAGAGCCTGCTCCACCAAACACATTGGACGAGGAAGAAGACTTTGAGGGGTCAGACTACGGAGGATCAGACTATGGAGGATCGCTTGCGTCTTCGGGCTTCACCTCGCTCGCTTCCCGTGTGATGAAGCACTCACACGAGGGTGGAAGGTGTGTAGATCATGTCTCCTTAGTTCATCCCCTTGGAAGCGAACGCGGAAGCTAAGTTTACGTACCTTTAGACGCTATCAGTCCTTTCTGCAAGGCATCTACCCTCTTCCGAACGATGAGACAGAGCAGTTCCGTGAAGAGATGAAGCACCAGCTTGTAAAACGCCTGCTCGATGAGAACGATTACCTGGCACCAATCGGTGACCACCCGCAAAAGATCCTGGACATTGGCACCGGCACCGGTCTCTGGGCCGTTGATAGTAAGTTATTGTTGTTCACGACGGTTGGGAGTCCCAAAATCTGACTCACCAAAGTCGCCGACAAGTTCCCTAGTGCACACGTTATCGGCGTAGACATATCGCCCATCCAAAACTGTTACGCGCCGCAAAACGTCGACTGGAGAATCGACGATATTGAAGAGACCTGGTCGCCGCTGTACGCGAACTTGGACTTTGTCCACATGCGGTCCGTTTGTGTGACTCTTCGACAGCCAGTCAACGTCATCCACTCAGCGTACCGGTAAGACCCTCGTCATTTCTGCCCACTGAACCAAGCGCAACTGCCGGCTTGATGCTCTCTGAACCAAAATGTCTGACATCCCGTAGAAACCTCAGACCAGGCGGCTGGATCGAGTTCCAAGACGCCGGCGTCAGAATCGGGTGCGACGACAACACCCTGCCCCCAGACTACGCGCCCGCCAAGTTCATGGACAGGTTCATCAGCACCTTCAAGACACACTACGGCTGGGACCTCGAGTTCCCCAACGTCCTGCCCGACATCTTACGCGAGGCCGGCTTCGTCAACATCCGGTACCGCTTCTTCAAGCTGCCCATCGGGCCCTGGGCCAAGGACCGCCAGCAGCGCGAGATCGGCCTGTTCCTCAGCAAGGACGTGCTGTGGCAGCTCGTCCGCGCCGTGCTCGTCAAGTGGGCGCAGCTCGGGCTGACCAAGCACGAAGCCGATACCATGGAACAGGACATCCGGAAAGCGTTCCACGACACGCGCATACATGGATATCTTCCGTGGATCTCCGTCTGGGCCCAGAAGCCGCCCACCTGAGGCGGAACGCTGCAGTCTTTGCACCCTCAGATGAGCTGTGTTTGACGGTAGTCAGCCAGCCAGACAATACCAAACAAAATAGCCCTCCCGCGTAGGTCATGCAGCCGCGACAAGCGACGGCGAGGCTATGGCGTTCGGTTACGCTTCTTCGTACCCTCGGCCAGTGGGTTGACGTTGGTGACACGGCATGCGTTGTACGGCGTGATTCGACTTGCTAGGAGTACGGGCACGCGCACGTCTGACAGCATTCGTGTAGGCACGCTTCCTAGTCAAGCCAGGGCCACCACCCGCCTCCCATCGTCAGTCGGCCGGCAGTGGACGGAGAGAGCAAGCCATTCGTTCGCAATCGTTCGCAAGGCAGGTTTGGCACCAGCCGACGGCAGAACAATGTTGCAACGCGGCCAACGCCCATCTTTCATTCAAGCGAGAAACACTCCGGCCCTAGATTCGTTTACGTGTTTGGCCCCCGGGTCGTTTACGGTTTTCTTCCATAAGTTACATACACGTCAAAATACCCATGCCTACGTACATCACGCCACTCCGCAATGACATTCGCGCTAAAGTCCCAGACCTCCTCTTTCCTCCAACCCATGAAACGAGTGAAGAGGGCCAACGTCATGGACTCCAGCCCGACGCTAAAGTTGGCCTCTGTCCAGACGCCCAGGGTCTTGTGCTTGACGTCGCGCGGCCACTGGTTGATTGGCCACTTGAACTGAATTCGCACGATATCGACGAATCCGACGCTAGTCATCATCTCGGCCGCCCTGCCGCAGGTATCCAAGAGGAAGCCCGACCTCTGACCGGCCTCCATCATAAGCTCGTTCCATCTGCCGAGGTCGCAGTCTGGCGGGATTGTTCCATCGTCACACCTCATGGGGAAGTCGATATCTTGGATCTCGAACCAGCCCCCCGGGTTTAGGTTGCTCGAGACCACGTTAGCTGATGAGCGTCTGTGGGGCAGAATGACCTACTCAAAGGCTTGTTGGTGGAAGTTTTGCCAGTCTCTAAAAGCGCCCGTCATCATCATACAGTGAACATAGTCGAACTTTCTAGAAAAGCTCCACTCCTCCTCGAGGTCATCGATTTCGTAATGCACGTTCGGTGGTGTGCTAGAACGGTCAGGTCTGATGAGGGCTTCGTTTTTCTTCCACACTCACAAGCCAGGCTGGACGGGCGAGAGGTCTACGCCGACAACTTCGGCTTCGGGGTGTGCCTCGCCTGTTTGCAAGTCAGCAGGTACGATCATATTGAAGAGAGGCTACTCGCCAAAGTCTATTGCCCACAGCCCTATGCCGCAACCGACGTCTAGGACTCTGTGAGGATGGTGGACAGGGGCAAAGTTGAGCCTGTTCTCAAAGGTCAACTGGCAGAGCTGATATTGAAAAGCTGCGAGCAGTCAGAGGTCTGCCGCTACGTCGGAGGAGAGGCGTACCTTGTCGATCGAGTTCTTCCTATATAGGGGAACGAGTTAGATAGCGCGGCTCATCTGACACGTACATACATACCTGATCAGTGGGCAGGACATATTTCCCGTCCTTGTAACCGTGATAGATTCTTCCGTTTTCCTCGCGTGCCCGTACGATGCTCGATCGGAGTGATGCGGTTGAGGATGGCCATGCCTCTGACTACCGTCTGTTTAAGCGTTGTCTTTCTTGGTGCGCGCCCCGAATGACCTACTTCTCCCAGTGCGGAGTCTATATCACTCCCTCCAAGGCTTTGCATCTCGGCGTCGTCAATGTCCTGGGATAGACCTCAGCAAGATGCTCCCGAAGCCCCAACACTCACAGACCCCTTTTCCCGAGTGCTGACCTCATCTGGCTCTAGGTCGACGTTTGTCCCGTGCGGGAAAACAATATCTATCTGATGCGTCGCGTCAGGCGCTCTTTCGGTCATGTCGATGGCTTGTCGTCGAGTTCTGTTTCGCAGTTCTAGTAAACAAAAGGGGGACTCCAGAAAAAGGATTCATCCCATCAGAGACGGAAGACTAGAAAGGCGTATCAGCTTGATATCCCCTTGCCGCTGCCAAACGCCTTTTGAAAAGGGTAACGGATGACACCCGTGCCGGCGAGGGGAATCGTTCAGATGGGGTAATTCTGACGAGGCGACACAAACAAGCGGCTTCCTTGTCATTCGAGCCTTCAGCTCCGTGTCACCAAAGGCGGCGTGTTGTCGACAAGTCCTAGTCGGCCCAACGAAGCACGCAGCGCATCACGGTCAGCGGGAAATGATGCGTGAGGCTGGTAAATTTCCCTCTCGGGAGCCTCGCCAGCCCGGAGAGCAAGCTGCTGCTGCACTTTGTTCCAACAGCAAAGCTTGATCCAACACCTTTTCAGGTGCTTGGCGCCATCCGCGGGCGGCTTTGGCCATCATGGGCACAAACAAACAGTAGCGGCAGTAACAACACTGTGTGTGTTGGCGTGAACGGTGCTTTACACCAACCGTATGCACGCGTCAGCCACAGCCGGACTTTGTCTCGATCCTGCTTGGACCGTCCCCCGAGCGAGCTGTCAGTGCCCAGTCAGGACATGATACCTTCCACAGGAGGAAGCAGACGTGGTTGTGGCCGACGTTGCGGCGTTTTGAAAGCCGGGAAGCGTGGCATCGTGTCATCGGCCGTCTCGCCGAGGGCCGGATGCCTGCATGCAACCATGCAGAACATCGGGTGGACAGGCAAATATGGCCGGGTTTGTTGCCGCCGTCAGCTGTCCAAGTTACTAGCTTGATGCCGGAGATGTGCGTCGTGGCGGGCCAGGGAAATAGAAGATGAATTGATCACCACCACGACGAGGATGTCCCCGGAACTGATTGCTGTCTTTGTGCACCGGTGTGACCAAACTAGAGTGGCTGCAATCCGGCTCGAGAAGGGTACCACGGGTAGCAATCAGGATAACGGACCATGGGGAATCTCACATCGACTGTGTCCACCCGTATATGGTTGTCGGACAAGAGCTGCAGGATGGGATTTAGCTTAAGTATTGCTGCTCATCTACCGTAACCTTGGGTGGCATAGTACTTACCACTGTTGAATGCCCATTTTTATGAACGAGTCGACCTGAAGAAATGGGTTTATGATAAATATCCTTTTCCGCGTACTTGAGCGAGGTTGTCAAGATGTCATCGGTATGCTACGCTGAGGTGCCTGTCATATAGTCGCCTCTGGCCGGAACCCGACGTCATGCGGGTGGAACGGGACGCTGCATATGACGGCTCACATTTCTATCCCTCTTGCCAGAACGACTGAAGAAGAGGAAGATGACCGAAGGACGGAGCGGGTGGGAAGAGAGGTGAAAAGACTAGGGTGAAGGATTGGGTTGGCGCCACGAGATGTGGTGATATTGGTGAATGGTGGAAGCCATGATCCATTTTGCCCGATGGAGGTGCTTAGGATACCCTACATTAGCCACCCTTCCATATTCAATGGGTGATGAAGTCGGATAATGGACGGAGGTGCGGTGTCTTTCTTCACCCCGGTTGCCAAATTCAAAGCTTCCCTTTACGTGTTGATTGTTGCGTTCTGCTTGCTCTCTTCATCCCATTACTGCAAAAAGCTCTTTCCCTGTGGTCTGTGGGTGGTGTACACTGAATCAGATAAAGGAAGAAGGCGCTCTCGTCGCCCGCCGCCTGCCGCCTACGCATACTTCTACGCTGTTGCCCTCCGTAGAGGTTGCCGAGTGTCAACTGCCCGGCCAAACTTTCCTTCCCTCTTCAAGTTTACTCCTCAGACTCACTCTCATCACCATTCTCTCACTTTCCTCTCATCTCACAAACTCACTCACTTCCCTATCCAAACCAAACCCTCGAAATTGCCCCGTCACTTTCAACAACCCGAGACATCATGGCGGCCATCCAGGGACTCTCGGGCCACATCTGGAACCCGCTTCTTCTGTTACTTACGGCCCTTTTCATATATCTGGGATCCTTGAGATACCGTTCATGGAACCGTCTCAGACACATCCCCGGACCACCAGGTGCCGCCTTGAGCAAGTGGTGGATGCTACGTAACACACTGGGTGGGCAGATGCATCTCGCTCTCAAGCGAGCCTGTGATGACTATGGTGAGTTCAATTCTCTCATCCCAGAAACACCATCAGCTCGTCCAGCTGAGTGGTTTATTCCGGGGGCCAAAAAGGGTCTCAGACACACATGCCGCCCAGCCAGGCAACATCAAGGACAAACGGACTGTTTGTTTCGACAGGCTGCTGACAGGGAACTTTGCTTTAGGCCCGGTCGTCCGCATCGGACCCAACGACTTGGTAACCAATGACTCGGAAATCCTTCGTCGCATGTGGGCGGTTCGCTCGCCATACCGCAAGGGGGCCTTCTACGAGGCTGTTCGCTTCGACCCCACGAGGGATAACCTCATCTCCATGAGAGATGATCACGAGCACAATGAGCTGCGCGCCAAGATGGCCATTGGCGTAAGTCTGCATCTTCTGCTGCTGACGTCTGCGTCTCGCCATACTCACTTAAGCCCCAGTACTCGGGTAAGGAGAATGAAGGTCTCGAAACCGCCATTGACGGTCAGATACAGGCCTTTATCAGACTCATCGAGGAGCGATATGTGTCTATCACAGGCGGCTTTCGCCCCATGGATCTTTGCCAAAAGGTACAATACCTCACGCTGGATATCATCACCTCCCTTGCATTTGGCTACCATTTCGGCTACATCGAGCAAGATGCCGACGTTCATCAGTACATCAAGATGACTGAGCAGAGCATGCCTGCCATGATGACGCTCTCGGTATTCCCGCACCTGGCCAAGCTGCTGCAGTCGCCCCTATTCCGCCAAGCCATGCCGTCGGAGCATGACCGCGTGGGGTTCGGCAAGTTCATCGCGTGGGTAGCCCTGTTGTTTCTTTCCTGTAAGCAACTGACATTGTTAGTGTTGCCAAAAAGGTCGTGGCGGAGAGGCTGATGTCGGACAAGACGGCCAAGCGGCGAGACATGCTTGGATCCTTCCTCGCACACGGGTTAACTCGAGAGGAGGCCGAGGGCGAGACATTGGTCCAGATCATTGCCGGGTCCGACACCACGGCAACCGCCATTCGAACGACCATGCTCTATCTGATGACGTCCCCCTCATGCTACTCAAAGCTCGCCAAGGAGGTGCGGGAAGCGGCCAACGCGGGCACAATCTCATCCCCCGTGGCCAACCGCGAGGCGAGCAGCCTTCAGTACCTGCAGGCCGTCATCAAAGAAGGTTTGCGGGTGTTCCCTCCCGTTACCGGTCTCATGTCGACAACGGTGCCCGCGGGCGGCGACTTTATGCACGGCATGAGCATCCCCGAAGGCACCGACATTGGCTGGACGGCGTTTGGCGTGCTTCGCTCCAAGGCGGTGTACGGCCCGGACGCCGACGTGTTTCGGCCGGAACGGTGGCTCGAGGCCGGCGAGGACAAGCTGAAGGCGATGATGGCGCAGTGGGAACTCGTCTTCAAGTACGGAAAGTGGCAGTGTCTCGGGAAGACGGTTGCTCTCATGGAGTTGAACAAGGTCTTTGTGGAGGTAAGATGCGGCGAGAACTTCCTAATTTTCAAAGTAAGAGTCTAATGCCGCGTATAGCTTCTTCGCCGATTTGACTTTGCCCTGATTGACCCCGCCAAATCGTGGAGCTCATTCTCGGCCGGGATATTCATCCAGTCTGACCTCTGGGTGAGAGTTCAGAAGCTCGGCTAGTCAGCTCAAGACTCGGACTTAGAGACGCGTCGACCGTGGTCGAGGGATCGCAGGGAACGGAAACTCTGCGCACAGTGGTGAGCCAACTAATTGGCTTATAGATTGGCACATATGGCAGAGGCAGATTGACAATACAGACTTTCTTCGTTGAATTGGATGCGCGGACATGGCCGAGTTAACCAGGCCAAGACGCACAGGAGATGAAGCCCAAGTGATCGGAGGGTGTTGATCGTGTGTGAAGGGAAATCCCGAAAGCGAGTGTCCGCGAACTCCGGCCATCCGAGTCATGCAGGGTGAGTTCAGGAGGGCTGAGGAATTACAGTGTGTGGTCCTTCATCATTCACGCACGCAATGTGTTCAGTCAAACGGATCACCTGGAAGCCGTCTCAAAAGATCTGGTGATGAGGTTGTGAATGTGACCGAGTTACAGAGACGACACAGATGCTTAGAGATGACTGTTGTTGGTCGCTCCCCGCACTATTGCCATCCTGTGGCATCCCAACGCAGCTAGGCCTGGGGACCGGACTTACTTCCCCATGGTCGGCCAGCCTAACCGAGCCCGTCAGTCCG